CAGGAAAAACCAGTTACTTCTTCCTCGCAGAGGCACTAGCCTGGCCGGGGTCAGGTTTGAGAGCGACTGTCCATGCCACTCACATCATATCTGGCCTCCAGCTAAATAAAGGACTTCTGCTGCCACTTTTGTAGGTGCTAATAAAAAGTCCTGGCTGGAGGGGAAGCCCTCCTCCTTAGCGCGCACCGGCAGGGTCTGCTCTGCCAGCCACCCGGCGGTTGGAGCTTATAATACTAAATGTATGGATGGAGGAAGAAACAAAATCCATCTGGTTTTGGGGTGGAATAAGAAGGGCAGCAGAAGCAAAAACAATGAAAGAATAGTGCTGAATGCCTTCCAGAGAAACTCTACTGGGAAAGCAGGCTCCACTCCTCGGCGTTCAGCCAAAGGGACCGCGCAGACACCGGGAAGACGCCCCCAGGACCGCAAAATGTCGATTTAATTTCTGACTTGGGTTCTCACATCTGGCAGAGCACAGGATTAACAACAGGCAAGCTACAGACTCGAAGTCATTTGGCACCTACCTTCTCCTTGCGCTCATATCCACTGGCTCATCGTTAATGTTTTCCTTCCCTGGCCTCCCTGCAGTCCTGCCATCCCCATGGGGCCTAAGGCTCCCATTCAGCTTTTCTTCATAGACTTTCACACCATCCTGTTTCACCGGGAGCTCGTGGGGCACCTCAATGCCCGAGAGGTCTTTCCTCTTCAGCAGTGCCAGCATCTTCAGGCGCTCCATCGCCTCATGTCCTTCCATTTTCAATCTCTTTGCCAGGACATCATCCCGATCATCTGCTTGGTCCAAGCTCCGTTTCAAGAGGTTCAGGCGCAGAGCATCTTCCGTCATTCTGTCCATCCTGCAGGACAGAGGTTGACATAAGGACACAATCAGTATCACGGCAAAGAGAAAACGGTCGTGGCAAACCCGGTTTAACTCCCCCGGGGCTGGCGGGGACCTCTGAGCCCAGCCTCCCCCCTCGGGGAGCACCGACCTCCCACGCGCCTGCATGCGGTGACCTGCCGGCAGCAGTGCTGCACGCTTTTAGTCCCGATCCTAATCCAGCCAGGCGGGGAGTTTCCCAAGCAGAAGGAACCGCACGCACCCGATGGGCGAGAGCACCCCGGAGCCCTTGGGAACCGAGGGCACAATCCCTCGTTCAGCATTAAAACAACTCGACGAGCTTTACTGGAAAGGGGAGCCAGAAAACACTCGAGTCATCCAGGGACACGACGAGGGCAGCGGAGCTCTTTCTCGCACTACGTGTGCCCAGACGTAGCTTTCGCGAGGCTTCATTCGCAGGCTTCGTGCTGTGGACTTTTCTTTTTCGAGGGGACCCAAGGGCACGGTTTGAGCCCCCCGCTATCACTACAAATGCCACAGCACGCCAAGCTTAGTAGCAAGCTTCCAAAATTCAGAAAAATCCCCTACCACGCGGTTTTTCCTGCTCTTTCAATGCTCTCGGGGCAAAGCTGCCCTGTTCGTCGGCGAGGAATGCGAGGCACCTTCTCCCTCAAAGGATGAAGGCCTGACCGCCCGCCTCTCCTCCAGGTGCAAAAATGCCCCGTGGCAAACAGATGCAGTGAAAAAATAAGGGCAAGGAGCCGCAGAACCCATCCCAACCCCATCTCTCTGCTCCCAGGCTGATAAGAAACTAGCTACAACAACAACAACAAAAAAAGCCAAGGGAGCTCCACCTGAAAACAAGGAAAGACCAGCTCGGTGAGGTCTCTACCTACCGACGTGCAGACCAGGGCTGGGGATGATGACAAACCACCAGGGAATAAGTCAGGATTAAAACGTGGCCGTCTCAAGAACGCCGATAACTTTATTTGCTCCGCGCGCCAGCACCTCGCAGGGGCTCATTCATAAGGTCTGCGCAATCTGAGCTGAAAGACGAGGCCGAAGCGGCCGGATCTCGGGCACGGCTGCTCCTCCACTCTCGCTTCAGGTGGAGCTTCCTAAACTTGGCTCCAAGTTACTCACGAGATAAAGCTTCGCCGAGCCAAATTTCTGCCAGGAAAATGTTGTTCTGGCTCAGTTCTAAATCCCCTATAATTACACATCTTCCGCCGTACAGCTGTCACACAAGTTCAACTACAGCATCAATATGGTTTCAAGGGTACGAACCGTGCTAGAGAAACCTTACTCATAAAAGAAAAAGAAAAAAAAAGGGTGCAGTCGCAGCAGGTAGCAAGAAAACAAATGCAAATCTGCAACGCAATAAAATAAAAGTCCGACCGAGCCTCTGGCACAGCCCAATCTCAAAGAGGCTGCCATTTTCAGGGTGAGCACCTTAGACTTCTTCCTACTTGACAGTCTCGTCTCTCTGCAGGAAAATGCACGTCTACGGCAACCAAATATAGAAAGGCAAGCACGGGCAAGCCAAGGAAGACACATGAAATGCTGCTCTCCACCCCCATCCCTAAGAAGTGACCCCAGGTTAAATTGAAGCTGTGAGCAGCGGTGGGTTATTTAAGACACCATGGGATAGCGAGAAGCCTCACCGCACCCAGCGCTGCGGTCTGGATCCAGCTGCTGGGAAAGTGCCGAGCTCCAATTAACTCAGCCATGAAAGGGCCTCCACGGCTGCTTCCTCCACTTCGTACTCTTAGGAGATGAAAGAAAGCGAGGAGGAGGAGGGCGAAGTCCAGATACCTGGCAGACAAAGGCTGATGCACGGGGAGGGTGCACAGGCACTTTCTAACCAGCCGTCGCTTCGGCGTTTGCTGGAGGACACGTTAAAAAAGCATCCCTAGATAGTGGTACCCACCCACAGCGTGGTCAAGTCATCCTGCAGGCTCTTCCCTACTGGGAAGCCACTTCATCCCTATGAAACGAGCTCCACGTTGATACGTAAACCGAATATATCACTTAAAAAAAACCCAAACCCAACAACCCAAAACAACCCACAGCAAGCACAGCAGAGCTGGTGCCACCCTAACTGATCAGCCACCTGAAGCAATTCCACTGAATTACATCTTGGTACTCAAAAACCTTGGGCCGCTTCACACACACAGGTATTTCACGTCCTGTGTTCGGACACCAAGACAAAGGCAGCTGTAATGTTGCTGGCAAGCAGAAAAAGAGCCCAATACTAGAGCGTACAACAGAGGGTCAGGCTTCCCGAGTGCACAATGGTCTTCTTCTGGCCTTCAGAAGGGTACTGAGATGCGCCTGCGGGAGGAAAACAGCCAGAACGTCGTAAAAATGTGCCCGTTTTAAGAAATATGAAAGGTGCCACATCCAGCAAACCTGAGACGGACAAAAAAAAGCAACGTATGCAACAGGGAGAGTTGCTAGGCTCTGATGAGGGTTCAGATCGAGCCATACCCCTTCGCAGGCAGTTATTTAAGCAAGCCAAAGCACCGCCGCGAAATGAGAGCGGAGTCGTGTGTCTCCTTTAAAGATCCACGGCAGCCGCTCTCCCTTTGAACTGCTACATGGGAAAAGAGAAGAAATTACCCGCTGGTAACTGCTGGTTTGGAGCTGGGCTGCCCCTGCGCACCCGCGAGCAGAAGGAAGCTGTAAAGCCCCGTCCGCAGGCACGCAGGCGATGGGGAGCGTTATCGCCACGCTCCGATGGGAGTCGGAGCATGAAACAAAAGCCAGCAACGGAGGCACCGGCAGGATCTGTGCCAAGCGACGGAGTCGGCAGCAGCCAGGGTCCACCACCACCAGTGGAAGGAAGGAGAACAAACCTTTTGCTCGGCCTCTCTGCAAGACAGAAGGTCTCCTTCTGCCTCCCCTTCCCTATAGGAAGCCCAGAGACCCACCGGTCCCATCACCAAAGTGGGGTTTTGAGTGTCCCTCACCTACGTGGACCCATCTTGCTCCATCGCGAGAGCAGTACCATGTCCCCGAGCATCACAGCATCCCTGTGATTTTCCAGCTTTGCCATCACCCGCTAGCACAGCGCTGGAAGACGAGCAGCTTGTCTTTTGGGAAATTAAGAAAACACCGTCTCAGGAGGCAGAAGAGGAACGTGCCAGGTGAGAAACCAAGGTCTTGGCCGACAAACACGGAGGAAACAACATGCCAGCCTGCAGGACTTGCTGGCCACCAGTCAGCGGGATTTCAGCAGCACCATTTAGCACATCCACTTGCTGCAGGAGGAAAGGACTGAGCAGACCATGAATGAAACCCCTGCTTGCAGAGACGCGAGTAGATGGTATCTGAAGGGTTTCAAAAGGGGAGGCCCTTTAACGTAAGTGGCTTCGGTACTAGAAACAAATCAAAAGCGCTGTTATCAGAAACAGGTACCACAACTATTTAATCCTTTCAAGAGGCGGCTTTCCAGGCTTGGTAAGGAGCACACGCTTTCAGCCAGATTCAATAAAAATTAAATTAGTCTTCAGATTCTTTATTGAATGGGGCCCTTCAGTGTTAACACTCGGCTGCGAGGAAGGGGGGGAAGAGGAGGGGAAAAACTGCAGCTTTACTGGGAGCTCCAGGAATTTCCAGAGCACCTTGACGGCAGAACTGGGCTAGCCAGGGGAGAGCACTCAACTTCATCCAAAAATTAACAGAAAAGAGCAGGAATTCTTTCAACCAGGGGCTATTCAGCGAGTCTGAAGGTCAGACAGTCAAGAGCTTCAGTACTGGCCCTGCTCTGTGTCACCGTAACCCAAACGCGGCGCAGAGATTAAACCGCTCCGGTTGGACTCATGAACAAGGACTGGCCGTGGGGCATCTCCTCTTTATCACCAATCTGGGATGATAAACTAAGCAAGCGCCGATTTCCACACCACCCCCCCTGAATTTTAGCCACTTTTCAGAAGAAACCAGCCTCGTTAATCAGACGGTAATGAGCCCACGTTAAAAGGATGCGCGTCGAGCGGTGCCGTTCAGCCGCACCAGACAATACGGGTGTGCTCGAGTCACACCTGAAGGACGGGAGGCGACGGGCACGACGGGCACATCTTCACCAACACGGCATCACAAACCCGACTCGTCTCCCTCCGGCAAAGCGCTCCCGGAGATCTGGCACATCCCGGGAAGCAGGCTCTCCCTTTCGCTTCCCTAAGGAACTTCATTTAAAAAAAAAAAAAAAAAAAAAAGATACAAAATTCTCAAATGGTGGCAAAATCCCCCAAGGGAAAACAAGAGAGCTATAAAACATGTTTTGTTTCTCGCTTGATACAGACTGTAATTATCTCCAGTTGCAGCTCGGTAGGTGAGCAAGCTTTCCTGACTACCTAAAATAAAAAAAAAAAAAAAAGCTGGTGTCAGTTTAGAGCCAACATTAAGAGGCTCCCAGGGAGGAGGTGGAAGAGGAGAGGGGACACCCTGCTCAGCCCCTGAGACGCAGGGACGCGGGGCGGCCCCGAGAGATGACACGCAGCATCGTCAGCAACACCCGAACGGCCGCGTCTTCCCCCCCTTGCTCTGACGCTGGAAGAAAAATGCCTTCTAGGAATGCCAGCAAAACTTCTGCAGCCCAGCCGGAGAGCCCGCAGCACCTAAGGTGCGATGGCAGCGTCGCCTTCGTGCTCTGCTGACGGTAATTCCCCGATACAAACGGACCAGTCGCAGTGGCTTGGTGCGCAGACGCTCT